CCCCGCCCCCTCCGCCCCCCCTCCCCTTTTACTTGACCTTAAAATGGGGTAACTAGTGTTGAAGTTAGTTACTTATCACTATTGGGTTTAGTGATATGACAATAATATCTTGATTTTTATATGTCCATTGTACCAGAATGTTGTTATTTTTTTTGTCATTGATGTCGCAGCGTCCACATACTAGTTGTATGCATTGTCTAGCACAGGTTGGCTCAATCCCATCTGTGTCCCTCTTTCTCTTCCTGAGGCAGAGTGATGCTACCTTGCGATGTTTGTTCTGAGCTTGCAGGATGGAAGAGTAGAAGCATCTTTTTCTGCCTGACAGAAGGCATAACTAATTAGAGGATGTATTGCAGTAAACCATTTATTTGAAAAACTGTTGTGTTTCGTGGGTGAATAATGGACATATTATTTATCTTTACAGAATCATGTATTACTGCATGTTTAACATGCATAGTAATTAATATCTTCTTTCAGTTACAGTTCATTGCCATGAAAAGGAGGATATGATAGTTTGCCCTATGAAACAGGTTTATATGTGAAATCTGGCAGGTATGTGTATTAGTATGTGTGGTGAGTATGCGAAACAGCACAAAATACAATTACTGCCTATTACTTCTTTCTTGAATATTTCTTAGCCTTTTGGTAATTTAGTTGTATAGCTGGAACATTAGTAAAGTACATAGTTTTGTAGTTAAATTTGTAGCAGTTTGCATAAAGGGCTATCTGCTAACTTGTCTTTAAAGATGAGCTTTAAAGACTATGAAAAGGCTAAGGAATCAACCACTTTTTTTCATCCGTTGGCACGGTATCCTTGACTACTTGGCATTGTCTGCTGCTTTGTTCTTTTTTTAATTGTGGGAATTGGATCATTATCACAACACAGTTTTATTTCAGTAACAAGCCTTACTATGTTTTCAGATAGTTTTTTGCGATCAGTCACGTTGCGTATGAATACTTGCCTTTCCAGTTGAGATGTATGTTCAAAACCGGCTGTCTCTACTGGGTTTTGTGTACCTTCCTGACAGAGCTTGGAATCCAGATGCTACTTGAATCCTGGGTATTTAGATTCTCAGTGTAGCCAGAAGGCAGAAATTCTTGCTCATGGAATACTAAAATACCCTGTGGATGTTGGTGTATTGATAATTTGTCACAATATTTGTAAAATTTGTTCCATTCTCATTTTAATACAGGTAGTACAACGACCTGTGGAATATGAGTGATGACAAACCCTTTTTATGCACTGCCCCTGGATGTGGCCAGGTAATGGTCTGACCTGAAGTTATTAACATTGATCAAATAAAAGTAAAATAGTAAAATGTATTTCTAGGGATTGAAGAAAAGGGGATTTATGATAATCGGTAGAAAGTATCTGTGTTTTGCTGAAAAGCAGGTGACAGCAAGAATTTCTAGCATTTTCTGTGTTTATTCAGGAAATGCTATCCATAGAAGAAAAAAAACCAATTAAATGACATTTTCTGAGGTGAAAACAATTCCATTTGTTAGCCCTGCTTTATTTGCTTTCAATAATAAAATAAATCGAGAAACATCCTAATATTTACCAGGTAACCTGTAGTTTTCAGAATATTTCAGTGTTGGAGGAGAGCTCATTGTGAAGATTGCTTGTCACTAATCTTCACAACTATGGTGACAGCAAATATGTAATGGCATAATTTTTATTTGTGTATTTTTTGTATGTAGGAGGATGCTAACAATATGCATGCCACAAAATGTATTTCAATTCCTATTCTAGTTTTAAGGTATTCTGTTAAATAGCATTAGTAGATATAGAGCTGAATGTGAGCAGAAAAGTAAAAATCTTATCAAGTGTTTTAGCAGATGGTTGCTTAAAAGGAAGCTGTCTTAACGCTTTAATTTACTAACCTGAAAATAAATTAATTTGCATTATCTGCTGCCTGAGATGGACATCCCTGCATCCTTTATATAGAATTGATTTTTTTAAACAAGCTGAATTTTTTCTTATATTAGTGCACTTGGATTTCTTTTGATTTTTAGTTCAAAATATTTTCATTTTTATTCTGAAAAATTAGGTTTTGTGATGAATGACAGCATTAATGTTATATTAATGGAGCCTTCTGTGTTTAAAGTGGGAAAGGACTAAGATTTCTTACTATGTCTCATATGTTCAGAGACATCAAAAGTAACAGAAGAGGACTGCCTTCTCCTAAGTAATGTGTTTGTCCCCATCCTATTTGAATCTCATTTTGATGTAAGCTCGGTCAGAAGTGGTTTTGGAACTAAATCTTATCAAAGCCACGTCATGGGGCTACAGCAATTCTTGATTCCAGTGAAGGAGAAGAGAGAAGTTCATGTCCCTGAAAATGGGCAAGGCTTCTCCAGGTGCCAGCTAATACTATAGAATAGAGAGAGGGAGGCAGGATCTGGAGATCCTGTTCCCTGTGAAGGAGCCTGTCCGTCACACAGTGGGGACAGAAAGATGTACTTAAGTCTTCCAGCATGATAGAACACCAAAGTTTCTGGCTTATGCTGTAAGGCACAGGAGCTATGCAGAGCCAGGCATTTTTGGAACACTTGGCAACAGAGTTCTAATAAAAAAAGTGCCTGGCTGTATCACCCTGTCTTTCAGCGATCCTGCATTTTTAATTTCCCCCTCAGCTCCACACATACATTTCCTTTCTCTCAGAAGTATTCTGGATGACTACTCTGAGGCCAACTAAGCTTTCTGTATTGTTTTCTGAGAGATGTCGCTTGGTGTGTAGCTGTACAAGAGATATGTGGAGTGACTTAAATTACTGAGGAATAATAGAAACATAATTTGGGACTCAAATGTTCACGAAGAAAAGTAAGAATTTGAATATTTTGTAAAATATGTTCTTTTTAGAAACCTGCATCTTGGGAAACGTTTTCTTAGATTATCTCAAATGAACCACTAACTTTACCCACTATTACAGATGCATAGCAAATTTCAAGTTAGTAAAAGTAAGAAAATCTATTTTATAAGCACCTAGTTTGTCTGCTTACTCCTCTTCTTACAGAATGTACCCCAGAGTAAGGGGGAAGTATGCACAAAACTGGCATACTTCTGAAAACTTGAGAGATTCTTAAAATGCTGCTAAGTAGTTCATTCACAGCTTTTCAGTTGTCTGACACTGTTTCACTGCTTCCCATTCTATCTGCCTCTTATTTTGTATAGTCAGGGGCAGGAGCTGTACTTTATTTTATTTTTACGCCATTAAATACAGTGAAGTCTGTTTTTGTGATTACAGATCAATTCTCATTATTGCGATAATACACACAATACAGAAATCAAATAGTGGTAATCATTTACTAAATATTGTCAAGATCCATTAGGATAGCAAATGGCTGTTTCCTAACAGTTAATGAAGTCTGCAGCACTCTGAAATTTTATCTCGGACTTCTGATGAATGCCGGTACTTACACTACCATTTCCCTGATACCATTACTATTTAGTTACTGTGAACATCATTTGAGTTTTATAATAGTTCTGCTTGGTACTGTTGACCAAGGAGCAAGATATATCTGCTAAAGAGGGTTGTCTGTTAACATAGCAATGATAGTTTTACGTGTTGTAAAAATTACTTTCTGTAGAATTGAATTTACTTTGTTCACACTCAGAATTACAACTATTTTTTAAAACTTTCTGCCGCAGCGTTTTACCAATGAGGATCATTTGGCTGTCCATAAACATAAACATGAGATGACACTGAAATTTGGTCCGGCTCGTAATGATAGTGTCATTGTGGCTGGTTAGTATATACTTTTATAACTAGTTTATTCACTTTTCTGCTGGAATGGGCATACACTTTATGTATTTTCTGTACATAATGCATAGACTTTTGTTAAGAGGATATGAAACATTTTCTTCACTGTAGTTGTCTGCAATACGTGCTTAGGCAATATTTTCATGCATAATTAGCTTCTGTCAGAATTTGAAGCCGATATTATTCTCCATAAGTAACTTTTATTTGGATCTGATATATAATTAAATATTTTTCAATTATCAATACTTTAATAATTGTTTAAACTATGTAATAAGCATTCAGTAAGAACACACATTGATAAAGGCTATGCCTAACAGGATCTGTAACTAGATTAAACTGTATTTAAGTTTTAATCATTCATTTATATTACTTGTCTCCTAAATTTTAAAATGTGTAGTGTTTTTTACATACTGTGGTAACATCAAAAGAATGAATCAGTAATTATTATATAAATGGGGTAGTAGAAGAAAGATAATTTTTTGTTTGTTTTATTTTAGCTTATATTCAAAATACTTTTACTATATTTCCACCTCTGAATTCATGGTATACCATTGGTCAGTTTTAACTAACTTTTTTGTTTGTCCAGTATCAGAAGGAATGACAAACAGATGATTGATTGCGTTACAAATTTTTAAATTCTTGAATGAAGATAGCACATGGTAATTATTCTGAAGTTATAGTCAGACTGTTTTTTTTCAGTGGTGGAACATCCTAAATGAACTTCACAAAGGCTTTCAGACATTGTCAGAGGTTTTTTTTCCTTGTACGTGGCTAATTTGTTAGGAAGAGCAGACAAAAAAATTGTTACTCTTAAACCAGCAGTTATACATTTAAAATTCTAAATGTGATCCTCGGCAATTTTACTGTAAGAAAGGGGACCTATCAAATAATGAGGTGTTTGAGAATGAAACCATGACAGTGTCTGTCTCTTCGCAGCCACATTCCAGTGTATGAACTGTTAATTGTAAATGCCAGCTTACGTTACTGAGGTGCACATAATGCTGCTCTACAATATTTTAAATGCAGGTAACTTTGTGGCAAATGTGGTTAATTTTGACCAGATAATAGTGAAATAAGGGGAATTTACATAGTAACAAAAACTTTATATAAAGACTTTTTTGAAACTGCTTCATGCAGTAGTCAGCCAGATAGCAGGAGTCTTACGATTCCAGCTTGACTATACAGGCATTATAGGAGTCAGTACCATCTTGTGTACAATATCACACTTTACTTCCTTTTAGAAGTTCCACACGCTTGAAAGTAATCACTCTTTTCAGTAGTGGAGAAGAAAGAAGCAAACTGTCTGTGAGCTGTGCACTTTCCTCTTGGGGTCTTTTTGTTGTTTTGTTTTGTTTTGTTTTTTTAATTAAAGCCTTCAGGTTGGCCTTATCTTTATTTGAAAGTAGAGCCTACTTGCTCTATGAAGTGATCTGCTATGCTAGACTAGGCACTGGAGAATAGCTCCCTCTGGTTTCTGGTCAGGACAGAAGAAATGGTTTGATACTCTCCCGAAACTAAGGGGCTTACTGTTTGCAAACTTCACTTGCTTGTCTCCAGCAGGTGGAGTATGCCTTCTGGTTGGCCTCCCTGCAAGGCAGAAAGGAGCTGACTTGCAAGGCACAAGAGAGTTCTTAACCACGTTGTCTCTTTCTGTTTGCTTTTATTCTGAACAATATTTATGATAAGTAGGTTCCTAAATGGTATTTTAAAGTAAAATTAAAAATACACTTGTTCATTTCAGATCAGACACCAACACCAACTCGATTCTTGAAGAACTGTGAAGAAGTGGGCTTATTCAATGAATTAGCAAGTCCTTTTGAAAATGAATTTAAAAAGGCTTCTGAAGATGACATTAAGAAAGTATGTTCAAAATTTTTTTCTTCTCAGAGCTTCTACTTTTTTCATATCAGAAATTCTATTAAAAAAGCAAACTATGGATTTATATATTGCCTTCCTAATTATACCAATACTCATTTGCCAGCTGCTTATATATGTTGTACGGAGAGAATACAAATCTAAGATTACTCATCTGAAGATTAGTTTACCTGATTAATTTTACATAGTTACCGTGAACAATGGGACACATTGACTTTGTCTTAATTCTTTAAGTATCTAATCTACATATGTTATCTGTATATATTAGCTTTGACTGAAATTTCATTAGGTCCTGAATAATCAAAAAATAAATCTGAAAAGTTAAAGAGTTTCTGCAGAAAGAGAAACATTTGCAAGAAACCAATGTGAATAGTATGTGAACACTGATTATTTTGATTAGTTTTAAAATACTGATGTTATTCTAAGAATCAATAGTGATGGTAATGAGAGTTAAATACTGACTAAATTTAAAGCATCAGTAATTTGGTCATGATTATATTCACTATGTGTTGAAATCACTTCTGCCTACAAATTACTGATCACAACCTAAAGATCTAATTTTTTTAATGTACAGATTGAAATATAAGAAAAGTTTGGACTGTATCTGTTTAGCAACTGCATGCTTTTATAAGGAACTTCCCATACATTTAAACGTGTTTTCTTCTATTTATTTTAGTACTTCCCAGTGATAACTGGTTAGGGGCCCAAACATTTAAACACTGCTGCAAATGAAAAACTTTGTTCAATGTCCCCTTTGAATAATTTTGCCTTTCGTTGATTACCTGGTTGACTTCCACAGGCAGTGATAAAAAATATCTTTTTATACTCATATATACAGGTTTGCAGAATCAGTGTCTGCATTTTCTTTGTTTCAGTAAAGATTTTAATAAGTACTTGTGTTTAGGATGGATTGTTATCTGTTCCTGTCAAAGCCTCACCACAATTATACCAGATCACGACTTTTTAATTATTTTTTTTAATTAATGTATGCTAACTGTTCTTAAAACACTACATATGGTAATACCGATTCTGGATTTACTAATACTATATTTTCTGTGTAATTCAACACTACCTTGAAGGAGGTTATAGATATTACAAAATACTTTAAACATCTTAACAATTTCTTTAATTGATATTAATTTTCCAAGCTGCCTTCTGTGTAGTGAGAAGAAACACAGTCCTGCCACATCTCTAATCAATGAATATACATAAACAATTGTGGGAAGGGGTAGAAAAATTTGCCATAATAGCACACTTTCTAGGGGGTTGATAGTTCATTTTTTTTTTTCTGTAGTATTTCCTATTCAGGTGTAGTATGAAAAGAGATTCCACTTTTAACAGTCTTCCCTGCCTATTAGTAACATATTCCGTAGGAAAATTAGGAATTTAATTGAAAAAAATGTGCCTGGAAGAACATAAATAAAGATGAGCTATGGGGGAAGTTTCCAAAAGTATTTACATAGCACACTAGACAGGAGTACAGGCTTTCAAATCTATAGTATTGTTAAGTATTTTTGTAACATAATTTCTCTGTGGCATTTCAGACATCCTGGTAGTTACATCTGTGTAGTAATATAAAACTTGCTTTTTCAATAATTATTTGCTGCAATAAGTTTGAAATTAATTGTCCACAGTAGCTTTATTAATTTGGAAACATAGTTAGGATTTTGTGCTTTGTGGCATGTGATATAATAATTTGTAGAAGGATAATACCTCACTTAACTGTAATTTTGACGTGTAGTACAGTCCTTCCTCAGCAATAATTTTCCTGTGACTCTTGGGAAAGGAAAACTTTAAGAGTGTTTATAATTCTTAAGAAGAAAATACTTAGTATGACATTGGTGTTAAAAGACAAAGTGTTACTGGAGATTGGTCTTTGTGCAGATGCTGGAAAAACAGTCTTGACTGATAATGCATCTCCATCAAGGTCTTCCAAATATCAGCACCTCCCTGTTGTTGTAAGGCTGATATTTCTCTTTAGTTGTTTAAGTTTTCCTGTGTATTTTGATTTTTTTAGAGACTGAGTAATTTTGTTTTATAATGTTGCTCTTAGATGCCTCTAGATCTGTCTCCTCTTGCAACACCAATTATAAGAAATAAAATTGAAGAACCTTCTGTTGTAGAGACAACTCATCAAGATAGTCCTTTACCTCATCCAGAGTCTACTACCAATGATGAAAAGGTCAGAACCCCCCTCCCCTTTTTTTTCTTTTTGGAATTCATTTTTTGAATCTTCTGATGATCTGTAAGTTTGTTGCACGTGACAATAGCCACACTACTTAGCTGGCTGAAAGGAAAAGAATTTTCATGCCATAATGTGTTCAATTCTTTAGTTAGCTTTGCTCACCACAGTTATTTCTTTGCCTCACACTGGCCATCCAGTAAAGACAGAAAGGAAATAAAATTTAACATACATGCTATGTTAGAAAATGCTAAGGGGCTCTTTATTCTCTTTATGCAGCATCATTCATGAAAACACAAAGAAAGTTGTTTGATGATTATTTTTTTTTTAATAATGTCAACAGTTTGAGACTCTTCCTGTGTACATTTTTATGTTGATCCTATATTTTACCATAAATTGTTTTGTAGAACAGCAGGGGATGTTCTACAAAAATATACAGGGCTGAATAGGCTGTCTTTCAAAGCTAAACACCAGATAATTTTGTTTCAAATTTTACACTCTTTAGGCTATAGCAGTATGTTTTGAAAGTGGTGATCTCAGGCATTTGTTTGTTTAGTGTTAACTCGAATACTCATAGAAGACTGAGGTATTGTCTGTCACTAGAGGATGTTGCAGTCAAATCCGTTTTAGAACTGTTGCTCTAAAGAAGAAATAAATTGTTTGATAGTAATGATAGCTTCGATATGTGACTTGCAATGTTTTCATCATATGGAGTTCTCTTGAACACAACATGAAGCAAAATCAGTGAAATGAATGAATTACTTCTACTCCTAATTCAATTAATAAAAATATTAGGAGCAGGACGTAATAAAGCAATGTGGTTGCTCTAGCCAGTCTTTTTTCTGTGTGAATCTTCAGTGGGCAGTCTGCATTTGAGGGACTTGGCTACCTTATTCCCAAAAGTCAGCAGGACTTTTTAGGATCGCAGGGTGATTCAGGTTGGAAGGGACTTCAGAAAGCTTTACAAAGCTTCACTGAATTTAATTAGTTAGCAAGGGTTAGGTAATCAAGGCAATCATGTAGTCTCAAAAATAGTGGAAGTAGTTTAAAGGAATACATGTAAAGGGCTGCTTAGATTAAGCAAATCATAGTCCAGATCTTAAGTCTTCTTTATTTCATTTCTTCTTTATTTCAGAGGTTTGTTTTTTCACTGCACATGCTTAGTCTAAGTACTCTAGTTTTGGCAGGAGATAATATCTCTATACGGTAGTGGTTCAGTATCTCATTAGCATCATTATAAGTGAAAATTATATCTCAGTGCTTGGCAGTACTTATAAACTTGTCTCGTTCATGATGTAATTTCAGTGTTGTCACTGTAACAGTGCTGAAGTGAAAAGCTGCTGCTGCTCAATGCTGTTCTGATGTCTGATTGTAGAGACAAGCTGAGCAAGGATGAGGGTGCTGCTTGGAGTGTGCTGCTGCTGAATGTGGCCTGCAGAAGTTGAGAAATGTGAGCAGAGTGTTGCTGTTTTCTCAGTTAGATTTTTATATTCTCCTTCTATAGATGTATTGAAGGAGGGAAGGTTTTATTTGAGGGCATAGCTGGTTTTAAAATGTATATGCCACTGTAATAATTTCATTGGCTGAATATAGTTTAGTAGCCTTAAATTATTACAGCCTGTTAATGTATGTGCAAGACAGTTCTAATTTTCCTTGAAGTTGTCAAAGAAATTTCTTAGACTCTTAAAAAATTATGCTTAATTCTTTTCCTAGTTTTCCGAGAATTCCCTGAGTTCTATTAAGCTTCAATAAGAATCGATATTCTGCTTTGAATAGAGCAAGATATTGTTAGAAGTATATAAAGCCTTTTAGCCTTAAAATAATAAGCAAATGTAACCTAATTTATTCTTTGAGAGCTTTCAAACTCATTATAGTTGCTTATTAGCAGTACTTTAAAAGGTGACCCTCAACAGAGTTTCACAAGTTGCTAAGCTGTCACAGCTAATTGTTTTCTTACAGTAAAAATCAGTTACAGTATTATTTCTGGCCATCTGCATTTCTGTATAAAGAAGTCTGTGTATTCGTTGATAGCATTAGGAAATTATTGTATGATATTTGCTTTTAGATACAAAATACTTGCAAATATGCGTCTCTGAAAACACTTCTTAAGTAAAATAACTATCCTCTTCTGTAAAATATTTTTCAACTCAGTGTGTTTTGGTTTCAAGAATAAAAGGTTGGAGAGGTTCTTTCAGTAAGTCTCTAGTATCTTTGAATAGGCTTAAACTTCTTTCTTGTAGAGGTGGGTAAAGGTAAGATCACTTTGTTTTAATCTCATGATTGCAAAGTTATCTCTTTCTTGTTCTTTAGCAGATATATTTCAAACTATTTTATTTCAGACAAAATTTATACTTCATTAATGCAATGCTTTGATGACCAATTAGTATCTTTTGTCAGACTGGTGTGCCTATGGTTTTGATTTTACATGCTAATAAAATGTCAGTTTCCTTTAGATCCATACTTCTTAAATCTGCAGCTTATGTTATTGCCACATGGTTACAGTAACTAGGACATGCATGCATTTTTCAGTATAGCATAGAGCAAGTTAGTGTAAAGAAGTAAAGAGGAAGTTGAAAATACTTTGGTTTCAAGTGTATAAACACTCGTCAGTAAATGTGTTATTCCTTTAATGGTTGGGGATCGTTTCTGTCTTTTAAACAAAGCACAAATAATACACAGAAATAATTGTGTGCATGTGAGGTTTCTGTTTTCAGAATTTTATAGATTTATTTCAGAATTTCATACATTAATCTTCTGACCATTGCTGAAATCTGGTTTCCATAGAGCACTTTGTCTAAAAGTTGCAAGCTGCCTTTTTCCTAGTAGGGGATTACAGCCAGTATTTATTGAAACACCCATTTATTAAGCTGTTTTTATTCATAGCCAATAAGTATTCAGAGAGTACCATAACTTATTCACTCACTCATACATATTTACCTGGTTGCAGCAACAGTTGGGAGGCCAATCCCAGCTGCTTGCTCGGAGGTGGAAGGTTCTACTGATGTGCCAGTGACTTCTAGGTAGGTGTTCAGAAAGTGTTCAAGGTCAGGTTGGGGCCCTGAGCAACCTGATGTAGTGAAAGATGTCCCTGCCCATGGCAGAAGGGTTGGACTAGATGACCCTTAAGGGTCGCTTCCAACTTCAACCGTTCTATGATTCTGTGAAAGTCCTTCAAGGGGTCCGTTCTTTCATCAAGTAGTCTGTATTCTGTTCTCATATAGCAGCCACTGTTGTTTTGGATGTTGTCTGAATCCTGCAGCATGTTCATGGTAGAGTACAGATTCAGCTGGTGTTCTGAGTTTATGAATCATTGCAAATTCAACAGGGTCGGTTTTCTCTGGAGCTTATCCATTTTTGGGACACTTTCACACACTGCCTCTCAGCACTTCTCTTCTTGGCCTTCTGTATTTTGGTAGCTATTTCCCCATCCACACACACTGGTGCTTATAGAAGCCACTTGCACAAACCTGTACAGAAGGGCCTGTTATTGCATTACTGTTGTTGAGAACATATGAATAGATCTGGTTAGTTTACATTTTTGTATTAAAGCTATATACATGGCTCTGAGGCTGCTGTCAGCTGACTGTCTTTTTCCCCTTTTTTAATGGAAATTAGAATTACTTCGCCATAGCTATTCTGTGATGTTCACATAACTAAATTTATTTTTATACATATACTTTATATATGTGGTTGCCATGTATGAAGATGTTTCAGGTGAAAGGAAGAACAAGAAAAAGCTCTTGCACCTCTGTTGGCTATTAGGGGCAAGCACGGGTGTTCCTGTGTCAGATCCCTACAATGGGAATGGACTTTCTAGTGGCTCCTTGCTCACAGTGATGAGACAGGTAATAGTGGCAAACAGCAGGCAGGAAAGGGTGAAACTGAAACCAGTGAAGAATGTGAATTGACCATTGCCAAAAGATTACCAGGGCAAGTATTCTCCTCTTACGCCTTCCTCTGATTTCCCACAGTCAAGCAATTCAGTCTCCTTTATGTTTTCCCTGTGTCTCTTCTCGCTGAATAAGATCCATATAGCTGTTACACCAAATTACTTATTTGCAAAGGAGTGTTTAATCCCATCCTAAGAATATGCATTAGTCAACTCGTGCCTTTTTTTTAATATTTCTGCAATTCCATACTGGATGTTTTCTTCTTTTGACTGACTGCTCATCTGTAATTCTAGGTACTGGGTTCAAATAATACAACATTTATAAATACACCAGATTGATACTAAAGAAAAAATTCTTTCTTTCCCCAATACAGCTCATTGTTATTCTCCAAAACCTCTTATTCACTGTAAATAATCTTTTAAGTCCCTTGGGGAAAAGCCTGAATGAACTAATGAACCCTGATGACAAATCTAGCCTCTGAGCTTTTGAAGAGATAAAATTTCATCATCTGAAGTTCTGTCTTTTTTAAAGCCCACAGTTTGCCAACCCATTTACAGTTGCATGAAGTGCTCAGAAGTGTGCACACAGTTTGTAGTGGATGTATAGAAAGAAAAACAGTCCGTAAGACAGCTAAGACTTTATTACTTAAAGCTTTGTGGATGAATTTTAAAAATTTAAGCTTAATTCAGAGCAAATGGTAATCAGTGTAGCCTATATGACACAGGTGTGATGTTCTCTTTGAATTACCGTTTAACAGTGGAGCAACTAAAGTCTGCTGGTCTTAAGAATGTAGTTTTATGTGACATTGCTTGCAGTAGCTAGTGTCAAAAGAATAAATAACTTGGGAAAATCCTGTCTGAACGTAAATCTGAAGTCTGACCATATCAAGGGTTTCCTAAGAAGGAAGGCATTGGTTACAATAAGGAATTTCTAGGTTTTGAAACAGCAAATGCAGGTACTACATTCTGATTGATAATGTACTTTACCTGATTGCTAAGCTAAGAACTATAGTCAGTTCTGTCTACTGTTTACTTGCAACTAAGAAAATTTAATTTCTGCACTCAAACAATTTCTTCTGCATCAGAATACGCATATGTTTTGCAAAGCTATGAATGTAACACTCCCAAGTATTTTCAACGTAGTAGCACTTTAGTTAAGAGAAGTACATGGGTAAGGGATAAAGGCTAAAAAAAACCACAGGGGTGGTTTTTTTTTTTTCCTTTTTACTGAACCATAAAAGTCTTTTGTTTCTCTCGTTTAAATCCAGAACAATGGACTGAAACTGAAGTGTTTTCCTTATTCAGAGTGTGAATAGACATGGTGGTGCTGATAGCACCATGGGTTTCTTGGCAAAAAACCCTTAATACCTGATCAAAACTGAATTATTATTAGCAGAAGCCTTAGCATAAATTGAGCCAGGGTTTGTCATAAAACTAGAATCAGTGTTGTTGGAACAATTTCACTTTGTGGTTTAAATGATTCATCCAAAGGGGTTTTTTTGAATGTTTTTAATTGTATAACTGATTCTACTTGCATAATGTTATAGAAATTCCGATTTGTTCCATCAAACTGTGTTCATTTCACAGTTGGAATTAATGGTCTATAATTGTATTTTACAAACTGATTAATCTTTATTTTTCCTCAGGAAGTGTCACTGCAGCAGACAGCACAGCCTACATCAACAATAGTTCGTCCAGCATCGCTACAGGTTCCTAATGTACTACTTACGAGTTCTGACTCAAGTGTTATTATTCAGCAGGCAATACCATCACCAACATCAAGTACTGTTATTACCCAGGCTCCATCCTCTAACAGACCAATAGTGTAAGTCACATAAATCTTAGTAAAACATTTTCTTACAGAATTTGAAAATATTTTGTCTTGTTTATTTTCAGTTACTGTTTCTGCAGTTAATTTACAAATTTGAGATGCTTTGGTGTAGTGTGGTGCTTTACTACATATGAAACATACAACTTTCACTACATGTGAAATATAATTCCATGTTCTCCACATCACTAAGTTCATATTTTTGATCTCCAAATAAATATTACATTACAACTGTAAACAAACAAACCAATTCAAAATAATGTGTAAACTTGTTCTCTTCTCTGGATAAGTTTTCTTTTATATAGTTCATTCCTTTTTCAGTCCAGTTCCAGGTCCTTTTCCTCTGCTGTTACATCTTCCTAATGGACAAACCATGCCTGTTGCTATTCCTGCATCTATCACAAATTCTAATGTGCATGTCCCTGCTGCAGTTCCAGTAAGTAAGCATGATGCTATATTAATTTGAAAGTGGAGCAGATTTGCATAAGTGCAGCATAGAACTTAGTTTTAAGCAGCTTGATAGCTGTTTTGGCTTCAGAGGGTAGTGCTGTCATGTGCTCTCTATTATGATAACATACTCAGGTTTTCTTCATTTTTATACTTTATCTGGTCAGCTTGTTAGACCTGTCACCATGGTGCCTAGTATCCCAGGAATCCCAGGGCCTTCTTCCCCACAGCCAGTGCAGTCTGAGGCTAAATTGGTAAGTGAAAAACTCCATTATTCCTCAAGAAGAATAACTAGAGAAATTAATTAAATTCTATTGCTTTTTAAAACAGCTTTAGTTTTCTTTTGTTAGTCTAAAATCTGCAAGTACAAATTTAATAAAAACAGAAAAATAACAGCTACGTTTATTTTACAGTTCTTTCACGTTCCAGCCTATGTTAGTTTTGTTGTTAATGGTCATTTTGATCTTATTTTCAAGCATTCTTTTAAATGAACTAGTTTTTTAACTAAACACCTTCTTGCTCCTTGTATTGGAGGATAGGAAATGTTAGTTGGAAGAAAGACAAGATTAGTAGCATGTTAACGGTGCACATCACCTTCACAGAAGCAGACTATGTTTCCTCCCAAAGGATGTGATATTTCTTAAAAGAACTAGGAAAAGAAAAAGTTCTGTTAACAGTGTTTCAGAATCTCAACTGAATATAGTCCTTTTGGCAAGAGTTTTGTAATGAGATATGAATTACTGACATACTTAAATTGTTTTGTGCGGAGGTTGTTTCTGTTGTGTTGGGTCAGTTTTGGGGGTTTGAGGACTATTTGGGAAAATCATGAGTTAAACAAGCAGAAGAAAGTTTATTTTGGTTTGGTTTTTTTTTTTTTAATATTAGTGATCCAGTTATGGTGGTAGTTTGAATTAACCAATTTCTTGAAAAAATTTTCTGCAGCATCAGGTAGTTGCTTCCCTGTTTTTGCTATTTTGTTTGTTCCGACTGTTCTAAAGCAATAGAAGATCTATTATTAGACAATAATTAATCCATTTATGTATTTACAAGATGCCTCTGTAAACAGTATCTGTCTTGTAAAGTAGTGTTCCTCTTCTGACTCTTATTTTGTGCTAAAAAAGAATCAGCAACACCTGCTAGATAAAAATATATTTTTATTCATCAATATTGAGAAGTGGGAGGATGCTGTTTAACATCCTTAGATATCTCATTTCTCTGAACTTAAACCTGTGGGCTTTCTTTCCTTATCTGTTTTCTTTCCTCAGACCACAATATGAAAAACAGTGAGTCTGGGACCAGTAATTATTCTGCTGTCTGGAGTAATGGGATTCCAGTGTAGTGGGTGCACTAGACCACATTCACCAAATACTGAAACTATTGTGGAGAGCTGGTCACCAGCGCATTGACTTTTCCTAATGCTGTCAGGTCTTCCTTCATTTTCCTCCTCTGCTGAACATGGTGACTTTCAAAATAGTATAGAGAGGAACAGAAAGGAAGAAGGTCTTTTTCTGTGCATCCTTATCCCCCTAGGACTTGGAAAAGGAATATTTTTAATACCTGAGGAAGTATTTAAATGTAACCAGCTCTGACATTAATTTATCTTAAATCCAGGAGAGAAGAATGTAAGAAAGTGAAAACAAGAACTGTTTTCTCTGAAATTGCACATTCCTTAGAGTCAGGAGACTTACGCACTGCATTCTGCTTTGTGCAATCCAGGAGGAATTGGTTCCAAATATTTTTTTAGATGGGCAAGAAATTAGGTTTTCAAGCATGTTACTGATTTGCTCTTACAAAGCTTTATTTGGGGGGGGAAATACATGTATCTGGTGAAGACTTTGATCTCACATTGGAAGAAGCAATCACTCAGATGCAAAGAAAAACAAAGATCATTAGACTTAAAATTTAACAGTCTCATTAGTCTTCTCGTTAGAATTTAGCTAATATATGCACTTCAGTGATTGCTTATCTTTTTTTTAAGTGAGACTGTAAAAAGGGTATTTGCAGCATTTCTTCTTTCTTATCGCTTAATATAAAGCATGAGCAGAATTCAAGAATATCAGAATTATGTATATTTCTTATGCTCATTTACTTTTATATAGTGCCTATTCACAAAAATAAAAAACTTAATTTCTTACACCTCCTAAAGTAAAAGCAACTTAATGAGAAACTTGGTGTTTATGTAGAAAAGCTTCCAACAGGAAGACTAACTCCCTATGCCACGTGATGCATTGTTGGCAGATATGTGATGTTTTATTAACTGTAAAGTTCCATTTAATTTTAAAAATTTAAGTCTTTGCAATGCCAAATCCTTTTGTTTTCATGTATGTCTTGAAAATAATTTTGCTTGCTACATACTAAATTCTGCAAAGGTATGGTAGTCAGGTTTATTTCTCACTTGTGTTCTTGGTTAAGCTAACAGAAAACTTAATGTTTAGCTTTACAGCTACTTGTTTGCTTTTTATTTCGTTAATAGTTCACATTTGAAGTTGAGTTATAAGCTATTACACTGAATTAAATTTATTAAGTGAACAGTATATGTTTCATCTATTAACAGTATACTGCAATTTGTGGGTTTATTGGTATGTTTAAGTTAGCAGAACACTGGGAACATTTCCTGTGTCCTTTTGCCTACCATAGCCACATTTCTGCTTCATGCTGGAGTGAAGTCTATCAGCCTAGTATTCTTAGTGATTTTTGGACAGAAAGCTGGATGAAGGGGTGAAGCTGTGATGTTCCCTTCTCAACAGTCAAGGCCCAGGAGTCAGGATTTTTATAGATCTTTGGAATTTTCTTGGCTGTTGCTTTATTTTATTTGTTATCTATTATTTGGAGAATTTTGTTGTTGTTCTTTATAGACAGACCTTGCAGTCTCATTGGATTTTTTCATATTGCATTATAAAATGTAGAAATAGAATATGTAGCAAATACAAAAAATATGCTCAAATAGTTTCCTGACATTGCAACTATTCCTCAGATATTAAAGCAAGCTTGGTAGTGTAGTGCGTGGGATGCAAAATTTGGAAAGTTAGCATGTTTTTTCGTATCTCCAAAGGCTTTTGTCATACACGCTTTTGGCCATCGTTGTTTGAATCTTTCTTTTATTCAAAGACCGTATTTTCCTAATACTGTATTCTGCATTTTCTACTGTCATATGTATGACAATACTGTTTCAAGGTATTCTTAATTGACACAGATCTACCTACTTCAGAGGTGGTTCATGGCCTAGATGGGTGTACTCTTTGCTGGGTTAAAAACTGGCTGGATGGCCGAGCCCAGAGAGTCGTAGTGAATGGGGTTAAATCCAGTTGGCGGCCGGTCACAAGCAGTGTCCCCCAGGGCTCAGTTCTAGGGCCAGTTTTGTTTAATATCTTTATCAATGACCTGGATGAAGGGATTGAGTGTACCCTCAGTAAATTTGCAGACGACACCAAACTGGGTGGTAGTGTTGATCTGCTTGAGGGGAGGAGGGCTCTGCAGAGAGACCTGGACGGGCTGGATCAATGGGCCAAGGCCAACTGTGTGAGGTTCAACAAGGCCAAGTGCCGGGTCCTGCACTTTGGTCACAACAACCCCATGCAACGCTACAGGCTCGGGGAAGAGTGGCTGGAAAGCTGCCTGGTGGAAAAAGACCTGGGGGTACTGGTTGACAGCTGGCTGAATATGAGGCAGCAGTGTGCCCAGGTGGCCAAGACA